ATTGTACAGTGGCATTAAGTGCCGTAATGTGCACCTCTGCCTACCCCTTCGGGGATAAAAAGGCGTGATGTTATGTTATGTCTGAAATTCCAAAAATATGTAAAAATATGTATGAATAAATTACACCTTTTATAGTATAAAAATGAATCTGAATGTGTTGCTCAGCGCAAATCTCAAGAACTGCTCAACCGGTTTCGCTAAATCAATATGTTGGGTCGACGTGCTCCATCGTAGGCCGCATCATCGCTTACCACCAGGCGAGAAAGTGGTCAAACGTCGGTCCATCAAATATAACAAAAGAGGATGACTGCAGTTTAATAGTTTGCAAAATAAAAAACAAAAACATAGACATCATGTTCATATCTTTTTATTTCCCTCAATTAACAAATTTTAAAATATATTTTTCAAGAATCGTTTTCCTAGATAGTAGATCAATTTTGTGCAGTTTCATTTAGACATATTTTATCTAGTGTGTGAATAAAATTTCTCTACTGTTTGTACTTAAAAATGGTGAAATTGAAATTAAGTAAATAACATAATATTGAAACTAAATAATACATTAAGCTTACATACTAATACAACATACATAATAATAACAAAAGAATAGAAAATTATACAGAATTAATTAAAGAAATACAATAAAAAGATTTATAATATATTAGAATTACATAAATTGATAAATGCTTTATTATTATTGCGATAATAACACAGTGGACAAAATATTTAGACAGATATACATGGTATAGTATACTTTTTAAACCCTGTCCAATCTTCAAAATTTATGTTCTTTTGGCTTTTCCAAATTGATTATTTTTTTAGATTAGAATGTCTCTAAGAATACACCACATTTGGCTGAATGTTCAATTCACATTATACTCAAAGTTCTCCTGACATCATTTTAAAAGTAAATAAAGAATAGAGAAAAAAATCTATGAAAATTTTTTTTTTTAAAACAAGTGTTGTGGTATTTAGTAAGATTGTGAAATTCAAATGTATAAATTATGCCAGTAGGTATTTAAGTTTCCAATTTTATAATGTAAATGTAAATATTAAATCAGACTGGACAGGGATTATATAACAAACATAGAATATACATAAAAAAACATTACCTATTTACGTAATAATACGCGTATTCATGTTCATGATAACAATACAGATAAGCATACAATTTGCAAGTCACACAGATAAAAAATAATGGGTGACTATTAGTTTGTTTTAACAGCAATGTGTTCCTTTCAAATAGTTATCTGCTATCAGATTATTAGCATAGCATTTCGCTATTGTTTGTTGGTGCATGATAACTGTAAACATTCCAACTTATAAACAAAAATTTTTTATCTACATACTATAGAAAATTAAAAAAAAAACTTAAAAGGTATTTTTCATCAAACTGAACAATAGTTTATTTGAAACATATTAATGAAACTGCAAAATTGTAAGCCATTACAGCTAAAAAAAACAAATATAAATCACGAATTTTCACAAACAAATATCTATGTCAACAATACAATAACATGAAAAACAGAACTGTACTACATAGAACACATAATTAATTGTACATAAATATAATATATCTGCCGGGTATAATATACCTCTCCATTATAGTATACATAGTATACAATATACCAGATTAGGTACTTACGACCTTATGACCCGAGTCATATCTCACAGCCCAAAAGTGAGATGTTTATTATTTACATGTACAATGGTCGATAGCACATAATATTGCATAATTTCTTTCTAATTGAGCCACAGAACACTGAATTCAACTGTCCTTTCAATCCTGTGATCACTCTCACTGTATTTTGCTAATAAAATCACTAGTAACGGCAAGTTCGTTTGATTTCACTATTTCTTGTCATCCGGTATATCTTCTAATAGTTTGTCGAGGTCTATGCCATCGAACTTTGCATTGGGTGTGTTTGAAGCATGCGCTAGGAACAGTTCCTTCAAAAACTGGAGTTCTTTAGTTAGTGTCTTGACTTTCTCTTCAAGCATTTGGTTCTCAGCTTTCAGTTTGTTTACTCGTGTGAAAGTTTCTTGTGTCCTCTGTTTGGACTTGAATCTGCTCTTTTTTACTGCCTGTAAACAAAGAAAATATATGAAAACACAAATATTTTGTAATCTCAATGTTGTTATGCATCACTTATCAGTAGCATTTTGCAGTAAACAATAATAATGACGCAATTTCTTAAACTGTACCATTCTCGCTCAAAAAAACACGCTTGCACTTCACTCTCACAATTCACTAGAATCATAAGCACAACATTTTTACTAAAAACTACAAAAATACTATGAAAAATATATTTTAAAATTAATACTAATAGAAGAGGGATGTAAGCCCTGCGGTGCCATTTTGAAATAAACAATACTATGATAGAAACTCAAACAGATATATAGTAAAACTATTGCATCATGATTACGGTGAATATACGGCAAATTGCACAATCTTTTTTATAAAGACCTGAGTACCAAGAACTACTCTGCTGAATAACAGATAAGGCTTGCCATGCCAGCCAGTAATTTATGTTTAAAAAAGTCCAGCACAGAAGTAGGTTGTATTATTTCACAATATTTTTTTTTTGCCAGTAATAATGTTATGTTTTCCTCATTTGAAATATAGTTGGGGTAAAACCTTTCTATAAAATGCATATTTTTTTTTTACAAAATTAAAATTGTAGGTGATTGAGTAATATCAAAGTTAGTATTACTTCATAAATGTTATCAATTTGTATTCAAACAAGTAATATAGGAAAGAAGTTGGATTAAATTCAGCTTCTTTATACATTTATTATCTGATTCTTATTAATTGAGGGAACTGTCTTGACGATGTTCTCAAGACCACTATAGTATACCGGGCAATCGGGCAGATAGACCGGCAAGTTTCAGGAACTGAAAGTCTCCTGGTGCTTAAGACTAATTATTAGATTTGTCTTTTGCTTTAACTTTACACCTGTTATCTTGTTGATTTTATTCTTAGATTATAGTCTGCCTATAATACTACATATAATTTTGAGGTCATTTCTCAGTGCACAGTCTTCTAAGGGCCCTGTAGCAATAGATCTCTATGCAGCTATTTACCTACATTCTAGCAATATAAATGAAACTATACCTCATTATTTCTGTCACGTTTCCGCCGGTACTCATCATCCTCATCGTCAGCGTCACTGACTCCTCGTTTCCCGCGTTTGGTTGGAGCCATATCGAAGAACTCCTCAAGCTCGTCTAATATCATCAAACTGATTCTACGACAGTCGCCGCTCTTTGCGCTTAAATTCACTTAAAATGACTGCCAACACACTTTTATAGGTCTAACAAGGATTTTACCAACGCTCTGCGACAATATGTAACTGTATTTTCCAGAAAACTGTGACGCACTGATCGATGTGGTTCTTTAACTTGTGAAACTATTTACTTTAGCTCTCCAGATGTTTTTCTGTCTTTTACTTAGGAAGTCTCTTTAATTTATCTAAGATCTTATGTCACCAGATTTCAAAACAAAAACAACAATAACACGTTTGTAAGCTGCTCATAAAGTTACTCAGCTTCTGATGCGTAATACTCGAACACAAAAATAAAAATAGCTTCGTTGAATCATTGAATGGAGAATGAAGTCAATGAAGTTTAATAAAATATGTCAGTTCATTGACGTCATTTATGAAGTGGTTGACGTAAGTAACCATAGACAACACATGATAAAAAAACGAACTTAAAATTACCGAATTCAATATAGAATAATCAATAATTTCAGTTCAGTAAATGTAAACAATTTGATTTTTTGAACGTACAATAGTCATATAGTTGTGAAATTATGTTGATTTGCATTGTATGTGTATTGTTCCTACTGTTAAGTTGTGGAGTAACTCAAACAAAAGTGCTCAAAAATAACCTGCATTGTCTATGGGCATACTACAATCTGACATACCGAGATTGAGTTCTGAAATTAGAATATTCATTTTTAGACGAAATGACCGCGAAATTTAAAGTTATATACTTTACCTACCACAAATTCCCAACTTGTAAGAAGTGTAAAAAAATGTAATCCATGCCTAATCCCACTGGTCGAGTGGTAGTAAGTGCGATTGCCGAGCAAGAGCAATTAATAGTCCTTTGATAAGTTAGTATCAAATTACGTACAATAAGGAAAAGGAAAGGACGATATTGATAGAGTAGAAAGAAAAATAAAATAAAACAACGACATATCAGACCACAATATAATTCTTTCTTCACGATAAACTTCTAACAATTTACGTAAATCTTATTTACACAATTAATGGAAGCATCGAATGCTAAACTTTCTAATACTGTAATGCTAACCATTCTCAATACATTTTAACTATACAGACAGAATAATTAAATTGAAGGTAAATTTCCTTAGTCGAGTTGTTATAATGTAAATTTCTATTCATTCAATTTCATATTTATCAATGAAGTAACTTAGATAAAATACTTATTTGAAATCATTTATCTGATCTTAATTATTTCGCACAACATGTAAAAATAATTAAATAATCATAATGCACGCAAAAATTTAGTGATAGTTTAAATCAAAATCGGATAGGAATCGCCTAACTATCAGGAATCGATTCGGCGAATAGAAAATCAATTACAAAAATAAATGCGAAGTGAAAACTGTTAATGATATAACTCATTACAGTATCACAATGCGATGTTAATTAATTTAATTGGAAATTAGTATATCTAAAGAGAAACCAATAATGGACTGATGTTTTTGAACTCATAATTATTTTAGGTAATAATAGATAGATACTTTATTGTTTCCTATCATATAACATCACATTGGTAAAGTTTTTAAAGAGCAATGTCATGATTTAAACCGCCAGAGTCTTCATTTGGTGAGCTCAAATACACCAGTAAATACATAATAATAAATACAATATTTATTATCTTGTTTTGTCTAAAATCCATTTACAATCCACACATAATTGTTGTCACTCATCAACGGTTTCACGCAAATTCTAGACACCAATATCACAGAAAATAAAATTTTGTAAAACAAAACCATAGTCAAGCAAACAAAGAAGTGAAGTAAGCAACAAATGCATTGTTTTGTCTCTCTCACGCATTATGCTTACGTATACTTGCATCCCACTTCAGAGAGGTCTGTTTTGACTGCGCAAAAGCGAAATTTCATAAAAAAAATCATGAAAATGAACGTAATTTACTTATTCTAACTAAACTATTGAGATTAGACCAGTCTAATGGTTATTTACATATTATTATGAATGATTAAATACTTTAATTGTTGCGTTATTGGAACTATAGATAGTTAAATATTATGCTTTATGACGTAAAACATAAATTATTTCGATTATATTATATTGTCTTTAGTCCACACGATTTTCTTGTTAAAATTCTTAAAAGATTTTCTAAGAAAAGAAGGAAAACAATTATTTTTACACTATTATTTGAATTTCAGATTAATTTGAATTAAATCATTGGGATTGTAATATATAAGTAAAGATTTAATTTTTATTTACTTGATTGATTTACGTCGATAAGAAAGCCTGCCATTTGTATGTTGCAAAATCTTTAAATTATTTATTTAACTTTTACAACAGAACTTAGTCGACAAAGGCAGTATTTAAATTAAATATAGTTGCTTAGTAATATTATTTTTTTTGGCACAAAAATATATTATTTAGATCATTTTGTGCTCCCAAATATCGGATGTAGGTACGATAAGTCTTATATAACTATAACAATATTAATAAATAATATAAATACAGACAAATCCATAATAAGGAACATGTTTTTTTACAAATATATTTTGGTTTCGATTCTGATTTTCTCATTATCCATCATGCCAAGTAAATTATTTATAGAAGTTATTATTAACATTTTTGCTGTTTCAACAAACTTTCAATTCGGTCATTTTAAATTATCTATTAAATTTAAAAACAAGAGTAGATTAACATTGTCAATAAAATTATGAAAGCCCAAGAAGTATAAAAAGTAATATAATTAGAAATATCTACTTAGGTAAATTAACAGACTCAATTTCTGAGGCCTTGAGATGTCTTATTGTACAATTAGGCAGTCGGCGTCCAACGAACAGTGTCCCAAAACAATTTACGTATTAATAAATACAAATAAATATAGAAACCGTAGGATAGTCAAACTATCATTTTAGTTATGTTTTCCTTTTCGAAAATAACATTATCCACGTCTCGTGGCTAAGCTCGCGACTTGTACATTGTGTCGAGACAAAAATATGTTTTACTATTTACAATCAAAAACCTTTTCAACTCATTTAGTCAATTTTACGACCAAAAAATATATTAGATAATATTTTTCCGTATATATTATACGTTGGAATCGAATTGGGCGTGGCTAGACATTTTTATTTAGTCGATAATTAATATCGTTTACTAATCGACTAAGAAGAACAGTGGTGACATCACTGTATTGTGACCATTCAAAAATACGTTCAGAAATCAGGAATTCGAGTCAATACCATCTTGGGGTTAATATAGCCTGATTCGTTTTTTAGGCCAATATAGTTTGAATTAAAATTCTAGCCATGCCTACAATCGGTATCGCAATATCGTTACTAAAACGTTTAGAATAATGTCGACGCTTACATTAACAACCATACAGACTAATGAACTAGTATCGCTTAGATAATACCAGCAGTCGACGGCGATCGCTCGCCGTGTCACTCATCCAGATACACACAGCCTTTGTTGTATAGATATTTTACGACTTACCTATTAGATATTAGTTAGGTATTCCTATTTTGCAATAGGAATACCTAACTAATATCTAACAGTGCTTCAGTTTGAGCTAGACCTTTTGAATTATTGGCACGTCGGGGTTATAGTTATTAGGCCCAGAGACAACGCTTTATGATCAGTGGCAATTCTAATTTTTGCATTATGACTGTTGTATTATTAGGCTCACTTGTACTCGGTTTTTTGGAATAAGGCAGTCAAACTGTCAAATTATTAACATTGTTTGATGTTATAAGATGAGTAATAGATAGCTAAGCTTGTGTTATCTGGACCAGATCTCATGATTAAACCTTATTTATTTATTATCATTGTGAAGACATTAATTTATAAACGAAGAATTATTTAAATATCGAAATCTAACTTTTATTAAACGCCTAACTCTAGTCTTAGTTTTAGGAATTAGAAATTACCTAAGCGTCATTTTATATCGACGTATGAGCAACATTTGGTTCTCTCATTAGATTTAGTAACATTTCGTTAATCGATTATTAAGTTTAGTCGAGTATTATTATCGATGATGTAATCGCATCCGTATCAGTAGAACTAAGCTTACGACTGACTTAGTTCATAGTCATTCTTAAATCGATTTTTACGAATCAGTCATTTGAGCGATTTTTTATTCAGTAATCGATTTTCAATATCGAGATTTCTACGTTTATTAATTTGTATTCTAATGAATATTAGCGTCTTTAGCAGAGTGTTTATAAAATCTTCGAGAGAAGACATCACTTCAAATCAAATTAAATTGATTAAAGTTCGCGCCATGAAAGAAGAATTTTTTGAGATCATTTGAAAACACCCAGAAATATTATTTTAATGAGTTTTTATTATAGGTATAAGAAAGATTTTTAAAATATTACGTTATATTTTGACTTGCCTTATTTGGTATGGCAATACACGAAGTTTGGAACTGGGTTTTTCGGTAATGCCGTAAATGAAACCCAAATTATCTAAACAATTTGTTAGATCCTAGGCTTTTGGGCGACTTCTTTTATGGCGCGAACTTTAGAGCTGTGCCTATCTAAGGGGTAGTTGTGACAGTTTTGTCTATAGCTCTAGAGTGGTTCACTGCGGCGGTGGCATTTGCGTCTTCCGGCACTGACAGAGCCATTTAATGATGCGAGCGTTCCGTTCTACGACGCTAGGGGGTTCTGTGTTCCTGTAGATTTGTTTCTGAACGCCTGGACCTTGGACCTGAAAGGAGACAAGAGGGGGTAAATGAATATTTTTGAGACAGATTCCATTTTGATTCTAGAACTCCCATTACTTAGAATTTCTGTTTCGAAAGCTCCAAACCTCGGGCGTTTATTTTTAGGATAATTTTCTTTGCAATTTTCGTAATTTAGAATATTTCTGTTTTCGAAACTCCCATCTATATTATTCTAGATTTGGGAATCGGCATTAGGAGTCTCTTAGTAAGGAATTCTTTCTTACCGTATAGTCAGCAGTAGCAGCGAGCTGGTTGGAGTCTACAGTGGAAGCAGATGAGAAGAACACAGGACTGTCAGGTGGAGCGTCCCGTACTAATGCATCATACTGGCGGGGCTCCAGGCCTAGTCTCTCGAAGAAGTCTTGGAGACGCGAGGCCTCTTCTGATGGACTGTCTGGCGAGTCCTCGCCTTCGCATGGAGCTGATGCAGGGCTGCGTCCGTCTGAGCGTCTGTACCTGTGATGTGGTGGTTATTTAGCCTCTTGTCTGTCGATATATGAGACACTATAGAAAACGCATTGTGTCGCGTAATATTGTGATCATGCCTTTCATACGTGAAGGGATAGAACTGTTCTGTTTAGAACTGTTTCCATCCGAAAATAGACGATAGAGTTTATCTCTCGCCTTTAAAATAAAAATATAACTGTAGGTATGGGTATTAGGTACGTACCTATCCGAGATATCAGATTTAGAACGCAGTATAGGTCTGGGTCGTCTCTGCTTGTACCGCAAACATCGCTGTCGTTTGAATGTACCCAGTGGTGACGTTACTTCTTCCGGCGGACATATCTAGAGGTAATAATCAATTTTATTAATTGTTTAGTGTTATTTTGCTAGTGATTTGAAACATTGAAAGCAAAAATTTCTAAACGGAAGAATAGTAGCACCATGAAATTTGAAAAAGTCCAGAATATGCACTAACTATTATTTAATCTTTACGGAGAAGCGTAAGTACTAGAATCACGGCAAATCAAAGATTGATTCACTATTATTTTAGAGTTCTTTGCCATAAAAATTATTAATAAGTGTGGTAGAATGCTTCGGCACGAATGGGCCGGCTCGACCGGAGTGATACCACGGCCTCACAGAAAACCGACGTGAAGCAACGCTTGCGTTGTGTTCCGTTGTGTGAGTGAGTTTACCGGAGGTCCAATTACCCCCCTCCCCCTCCCTAGTCTCCTCAATCCTCGAGTCCTCCGCAATCCTCAAATTCCCAATTTCCAGAAGGCCGGTAATACACTAGTAACGCCTTTGTGTTTCAGGTGTCCATGGGCGACGCCGATTGAATACCATCAGGAGATCCGTCTGCTCGTTTATCGGCTTATGCTATAAAAAAAATTAACAATAGACTGTTCGTTGTGTTGTGGGTTACTGACCTGTGTGGTATTGACGTAGTCCTGGTTGTCATCCTGTCGCGGCCGCATGCGCAGTTCCTGGTACTGCGGCTGTTTGTTTACTAACTCCGTACTCGGCTCATGGTATCTGTATAAAGTGGGAGATAAGAAATTTGTTAAAAAAGACAAGACCATAACAAACACCAGCTTTTTTGCACACAAGATGGTGCTAATGAAGCGAAATCTCCAATTTGGCTTTTTTAAGAGGGGAAAATCATCGAATGTCTTCTCCCGCCTGGGTGAGACGGGAGTGAGTGTCAGACTCTTACTGATTAACTCGTCGAGTACCGGTTTTGTAGACACAATTATAGAACAATAGGTTGCGGTCACCGGTGACCGCTTGGTGTTTGACAGTTTCAAAACCACCCCGTTCCTACTCATGCACTTCAAGCCGGAGCTCCGACAACCTTTTACGTTCTCCGCGGCTCCTATTGGGTGGTGGTCCCATCCGTGGTGGTATCTCCAATTTGGCTAGTGTTAAACTATTATTAGAGACTGTTCTATAAGCGACCAGCTTCCGAGAGATAGCGACATCATCTAATCGGTGGTCGTAACTGGGATCCACAAGTCCATCAAACTTGAAGATCATGTCAACATATCCTGCTGTTTGCTAGATTAAGCAGGTGACACCTTCTGGCTGATGATAATGCCCCAAATCTCTTACAAAAAGCTGATGAATAAATAATATAAAACGTTGGTGTCTTGGACGTGGACCCTTACCTCGTATACTCTCTGGCGTACTCCTTGCGTCCCACGTTGAGGCACTTCAGCGGAGTCTTGTAGGTGCACTCGTAGTCTCCATAGTCGTACATTGGAGGCTCGTCCTGGAACTGGGGCGGGGGAGCGCTCGCCTGTAACAATTGACAAATAAATTATATCTAGGTATGTAGAAGATTATGGTGAAGGCTATTAATAGTACAGGCAGCTAATTTATTTATTGCACTCTTACAATCGAACTTCAAATCATGTACTATGTATCTTTATTTAGCAGGATAGAAAATAGCTGCAATTGTTACACTAAATTGTACGATTTTTAAGGATATCTCAGATATTACTCATTAGTCTACAAATGCAAAATTTTGAAAAACTAATGTAAAACCAATTAGTCGCAGGCGGTTCCCTTCAGAAATAAAAGCTTTTAAACAATTTCTCAATATCTTACCTGGAAGTGTATCCCGACTCTAGGCGCGTGGGTATAGTGATGGTGGTGTGCGTGGTGCGGCGGGGGCGCGGGAGGCGCGGGGGGCGCGGGCGGGTCGGGGGCGCCGTCCTGGAACTGCGGGGGCGCGGACACGTAGCACTCCAGGGGCGCGCCGTACTCCGACACGTACGAGTTGTAGCCCCTGAAGAAAATTATGAAGTTAAGTCAAGTCAAGGTGACTTGTTCACACTAAAGAACACATTTGTCATCAGCCATTCCCATGGGTAACGTGGTAAGAGTGGATTTTCCATATTCCACCATTGCTTACTCTTGAAACCAATGTCAAAACAATACAACCCCTATCGTAGCTATTAAAATAGCATTCAGAGTACGGAATATAAAGACAAACTCAATACCATTTAGTTCAATCAATATCCACGCAATACGGATGCAATGGGCGGTAGTGTTGCAACAAGTGAACGAAATTTCACAATACCAATGTAACTAGATCGATCGGAATGGATTCAAGAGTAAACCCCTGATTAACTTCTAATCGGAATGATCCTAAGCGCGATTATCGTACGATTTCCAGGTCAGGCAAAGTGCTACGAGGATTTTCCATTTAGGAAATTGTCATAGTAGCACGGAGTCAGGTTTATTGGACTTGTACCTAATCCTTCGTGGGAAATAAGCTGTAATGAGATGTCATTCTCCATCTCCAAGAGTAAAGGTCGTTACCTGGCGTGTTCGTGTTCGTGTTGCGTGGAGGAGCCGGAGTCAGTCCGGCGGTGCGAGTGTCGCGCGGGCGCCGCGTGCGGGGCGCTGCGCTGCGTGTAGTGCCCGCTCGACCCGCCCGAGTCGCGGGCGAACGAGGAACCGCATCGACTATAGGAGGTTGAATGTTAGGTACTAAGAAAGTTTTGTAGGGTAAAAATGATAAAATATGTTAATAGAGGTTCTTGGCTTAGCTGAAGTAACACCATGGCCTCAAAGGAAAACGACGTAATACGCTTGCGTTGTTTGCAACCGTGTGACCGGAGAAACTCAATCCCATTTCTTCCAAAAGATCCGTAACACACTTGTAACTGCCCTGGGTTGCGGGTGTCTATAGATGGACTGATGGTTTCTTTTTTTTTTTATGCCATAAGCCGGTAAACGAGCAGACGGATCACCTGATGGTAAGCAATCGGCGTCGCCCATGGACATCTAGAACACCAGAGGCGTTACAAGTGCGTCACCGGCTTTTTGGGGATTAGGAGTTTGAGGATCGTTGGGGATTCAGGGATTGGGGAAATTGGGGAAGGGGAAGGTAATTGGGCCTCCGGTAACCTCACTCACACGACGAAACACAATGCAAGCGTTGCTTCACGTCGGTTTTCTGCTCGGCCGTGGTATCACTCCGGTCGAGCCGGCCCATTCGTGCCGAAGCATGGCTCTCCCACACTTACTATCAGGTTTACTATCAGGTGACGCATTCTTCAGCTTATTTGGACTTCTATCCCATAAAAATTTAGAATGGAGTTCTCATCATCCTTTTTTCTCAAAAGCAACACATTCACTCAAGGCTTGAAGGTACACAGACTAAGAATAAAGAGACTCACCTATTATAAGACTGGTAGTTCTCTTCTCCAGGCGAGGGGTGTTCTGAGAAGGCCTCGCAGGAGGACATGAGTGAGGAGTGGTTGGAGCGCGTGCCCTTGGAGGAGCAGGACGCGGTGCGCTGGTGCGTGGAGTGGCGCCGGCGCCGCGGGGACCGGCCCATGGTGTCTGTGTGGCCTGCGTTGGCGCTGGAAGGGGGAGGCATGTGTTATTTGACGTGTATGTTAATTCTTTAGTGTTTCAGTGCTTTGTTTATTATTAGTTCCTGCAGTGGCTGGAAATGTTGTCGTTTGTCCACTTATCAGGCTAGGCATAAATCACCCATTTAAGATTTCGGGGTCAAAACCATAATGACTGAACTAGACTTGAGGATATCTCTAGGCCCTAGGACTTCAGAGGATAAACTCCAAATTGTGCTCGGTATTTGACAAAAGACCTTCAAAAGGTCTCCAAACGTCAAAAGTTTCAAGATATACTGAATAGAACAATAACATACTTATAAAATATGTGTTATAAAGTATAAAGTTACCCTCATCTCCCTCTATTTGGGGCACCAGCGGGGTTACTATGAGGTCCTGTAGTCAAGTCAGAATAGTTCCATTGAGGGAAAGAAACAGAGCTATACCAGTCGTCTAGCGCGATCTCGGTCCCTCAAAAGAACAACTCTGGCTTTAAGACGTCATTATACGCCACCTGGGGTGTTATTATCAAAGCAATCATATTAACGTTAGTCTACTTACTGTTCCGGATAGCACCTGGTCTGCGAGTGCAAGTCTGGCAGCGACTTGTGACTGTTGATGTTGGGGCAGCCACTGTCGTCCTCGCGCATACTTGGCTGGGAGTGGGAGTTCGATCTGGGGAGGGACAAATGGTAAGTTTTAAGTAAGTCCGGCTTAATTTCTTATAATTTTGTGGAGGACAAATATTCAGTAGTTTTATATTTCTATTGTAACTTTCGTGAGACATACTAAATAAATTATTATGTTTTCGGCTTACTCACGTACTCACGTACACAGTAGCAGCGCGACATTCGCCGCGTCGCGGGTCGCGAAATGCTGCTCATGAATATGAACCTCTAGCATGGCTTGAAACTAGACGAGTTCCTCGTCAAATTATTACGTGCGTAAGCCGAAAACATAATAATTTATTCAGTAGTTTTGTTGTTTTGAAGTTAAGCTAATCCGAACTACATGAAATTCAAATTTATTGTTTCAGCTTTGATCTTTATTTTGAGCAGAAGTTACTTCTTTCTGTGTCTTAGAACATTCTAAGGATTGATTCAGTACAAGACTAATAATCAATTGTTGATGAGCCAACTAATGACTGCAAATGAAATAAAAATCTATACACATTGATATTTACTCTTGGTACCTGATATACCGAGGTGCGGAGTGTGCATACTGCGCCGGCGGACTGATGGTGGGGATGGGGTCCGCTGGTGACCCAGACCCACTCACCACTGGTTCAGGTAGCTCCATGTTCTCTGGACTCGAGTGGGAACTCGCTAGGGACATAGAAATGAGGACCAGGTTACTTCAGTAATATGCATAAAAGATTGACGATATAAATATTTTCTAGCAGGATAGACAGGTTGACGATTAGAAGACTATGCTATCACAGCAAGAACAAGCAAAAATAGCCTTTAAAACTTACGCATAGAGTATCCACCCTTGATGACGACTTCGCTGGCCCTCTGCCGTGGTATCACAAATGACTCCGGGAAGAAGACCCTTGCGTCTCCAAAACTCAGGGGCCTGTTCATCTTCTCTCTATGGTCAGGGTCTGACTTCTGAGCCTTAGACCCTGAGGTGCCCGATGAGGAGGTGCCCGAGAATGTTCCCGAGAAGGTTCCAGAGTTGTGCTGTGACCGAGGCATGGTCTCCCGTTCTGGGTAGGAGTCTTTTAGTCGTCTCGTGTCAGCATATACTTTGTGCGCTGACAGTGTACCTGGGAAGAGGAGATTGGAAAGAGTTTTTGGTTAAAAGAAAGTATGGAAGAGATTTAGATAAACATTTGGATAAATTATTTAAATGACTGCCTCGTTGGCCGAGTGGTCGCAAGTGCGACTGCCGGGCAAGGGGTCTCGGGTTCGATTCCCGGGTCGGGCAAAGTCTTACTGGGTTTTTAAAAAATTCTTAGTAGCACGGAGTCTGCAAATGTGCCCGGTATATGGCAATAGGTTCACCCTCTTCTATTACATGGGACTCACAACATAAATAGTGGGTGTTACATTGTACAGTGGTATTAAGTGCCGTAATGTGCACCTCTGCCTATCCCTTCGAGGGTAAAAGGCATGATGTTGTCATGATGATGATGAGGTGTCCTGCTTGATTATTCTCTATTCCAATGTGATCGTTGGTACTCACAAACAGCGAAGGGTGGTGAGTAGACGTTCTCCCGGCTGTCTGCATGGTCGAGCAGGCGACGCAGCGTGCTCTGCAGGCCCTCGCCCGCGCTCACTGCGCGCCGCGCGCCCGTACTGCGGGTCGTGGCATCTGCAAGGAGATATTTTGTTTAGTCAGCATCATTGTCTGTCTGTTTTTGCAAATACTTACTAGAATCAATACATAGTATAAAACAAAGTTGCTTTCGCTGTATGTCCGTATGTATGCTTAGATCTTTAAAACTACGCAACGGATTTTGATGCGGTTTTTTTTAAATAGATAGAGTGATTCTTAAGGAAGGTTTGTATGTATATACATATTGCACCCGTGCGAAGCCGGGGCGGGTCGCTAGTCCAAATCCAAACTAATATTATAAATGCGAAAGTAACTCTGTCTGTCTGTCTTTGCTTCACGCCTAAACTACTGAACCGATTTGTGTGAAATTTGGTACAGACATAGTTTGGAACTTGAGAAAGGACATAGGGTAGTTTTTATTACAAAAAAAAAATAAAAAAAAAATATTGCGTCCATACAGCGCCATCTATTGGTATAGAGTCGGCATCAATTCAGTACTGAAAATTCAACGGGAAAATGTAAGTATATAAATAGGTATGAAAAATATAATATAATACAACTTTTAGTACAAAGAAAATTTTAATGCTCTAACGGAGCATAGATAATTCTATTATGTCGAGTTGGTGATCGCACAATGGTGTCGATAGTTACACGAGTTCGGTTCATGTTAAAGTTTTAATTCATCGGAAAAAAGTAAATAAATAGTAAAAGGTATAAAAAAAAAATAATATCAATATAATAAAACTTTTAGTACAAAGAAAATGCCCGAACGGAGTATAGATAAATATAATCCGAGTTGTCACTATGCTCGATAGATGGAAAAAAATATTAATTATAGTTTAAACAAGATTCTACCCTCATAATTATTTGTGGAAATAGAGGTAGTTTAAATAAAAAAAAATATTGCAATTTTATAATTCACTTACAGCTCTGTATAAAATGCTCTAACGGAGCATAAATAATTCTATTACGTCGAGTTGGTGATCGCGCAATGGTGTCGATAGTTACACGAGTTCGGTTCATGTTATTGTTTTAATTCATCGGAAAAAAGTAAATAAATAGTTAAAAGGTATGAAAAAAATAATATCAATATAATAAAACTTTTACTACAAAGAAAATGCCCGAACGGAGTATAGATAAATAATCCGAGTTGTCACTATGCTCGATAGATGGCGTTGGGATTGAAATTGATCGCGCTATGGTTTCGTTACACGCATTTGGTTGGGTATCGGCCGAGTGCTTCGGTACTGTCGTGGAATTGAGGATTGATCTCGATTGATTGATAGTTTGATCTCGATTATTAGTAGATACTAAAATTGTATGTCTAAATTCATTTTAATTTTTAAATTAATTAGATCGTTCCTTTTAAATTATATAGTTTTAAGCTTGGTTATTAAGGGAATAGGTAATTTGTCAAGGGAGACAGTCTTTTTTTCTGAAATGACAAATCAAAATATTATTTTGAAAATAAGGGAATAACAACATTTTAGCCTTTTTCGATCGGCTTTAATGCCCTAAGCGAGTATACATATTTTCAATTCAAACGTAGAGCTCATTATGTTGATTTTTGAAGAGTTCCCTAGAATATCTTCCACATTTAATTTTTGAAAAGATCCGGAACTATGTGAGTAAAACCAAAAATCTGCCGGAAGTCACTATTCCACGCGAACGAAGTCGCGGGCAAAAGCTAGTTATCTATAAATTGATAATTCCTCTGAGTGATACATTTTTTATAAATTGTAGTACTTAGATCCTCCTGATATATAACACAAAGATCTATCTTTTGTGGTCATAAGTCGTAACAATGATTCGTACCCAAGACGTGGTGTCGAGTATTTAGAAAGAAGCTCGGTCTTCGTATCGTAAGGTTTGTAGCTAATTTACTAATAATTATAGACTTACAAGGATTACAGCAAGCATCTTGGTTGAGAGTGCCGGAGCTGACCAGGTGACAGCCACCGGCTGCGATCGCCTGGCCCAGACCACTGCTCATCTGAAAACAAGTTGAATAGAGGTTTAGTAGATTTTTTAAAATAATTGAGCTAATCAACTTAATGATGAGCATTTATATACTTTCAGCACTCGATTATCAAAGTGGACTTCCAAAGCTTTTAAGGAAAATCTTTTAAGAGATCAGTATTCTTGCTAGGGGGCAAACGAGCAGACGTACGACTTGTCGCCTGATGCCCCTGATGGTAAGCAATCATTGCCGGCCATGGACACGTGCAACACCATAGACGTCATAAATGTGTTGCCGGTTTTTAAAGGTGGATTATCCTCATTATTTTGGATCTTTAAGTTAAATATGTGATGACTCTGACTTTATTTTGACTTCAATATTCGACTTACCCTTAACGGTAGTTCCTGTTTCCTATCGAGCACAGTCTCGGACTTGACGTAGAAGGCTTTAGTCTCTGCCAGCAGTTCGACAGCAGACTTCCTCTTCTGCTGCTGCGGCGGCGCCAGGGACCTGGGGGCCGCCATGCCTTCCCTCGACTTGCGCGGTAGTTTGAAACTCGCGAACAACGAGTCTGCGAGACGACGCCTGGTAGAGTAGAATAAACTTTATTATGGATGGGTTTAGAGTGGTTTTTGATTTGACGGTGCCTGGTAGATGGAAGGTACATACAGGAATACAACGATTACGTTTAACGTTAGGATTATCCAGTCAAATGACTCAAACACTTGAAATGCTCACCTGGGCGGCGACTCAAAAGACCTCGAAAACGAGGGGCAATTAGCAGCTCCTTCGAACTTCTTTCTCACTTCCTCGACCTTGGACCAGCCGGCTTCCACGTTGAGCCGGCGGTTTAGCGGTGTGGCTTGCGAGGCATGCTTTGCCAGCTCCTCCCTGGTCCTCTTGACGGAGACCTCCGGGATGGAGTCACGGGGGCGCTGACCTCGCGCCTCGTGACATCTCTCGATAAACTGCTGTCTCCGCAGCGAGAAGTTCACTTGCTGACAATCTTCTTCGTCGTCTAGACACCTGGAATTTGGAGTTTATTGTGTTAGTTATTTAATTACCTTAAGGGTTAGCTGAATTAGATGTAACCTTAAGTTTTGTACCTACACAAGGTTTCGATAAGATTAATTCTTATATGAAATTCACTATGAATATTTATTTTTGGAATGTCATCATAGAAAATTTCACAGAGCATGACTATAGTCTAGTTTACCGTGCAGTAAATAAGATTTAAGTAATACAAGCATTTGGCACAGATATACCTACATACATTTGTTGATGAAACATGATATGATTACAATACCTAACTTTACTTGGCTGGTGAAATAATCGTCGATAGAAGGTGGCATTAGCGCTGGTAAAGTAGGAACGAAATGGTAAAGAAATTGTTAAGAATTTAGGATGCTCGCACCCTAGCAGCATTGGTAAAGAAGACAAGAAAAGTAAGGGTATGTACCTAGCAGGCTGCGCGAGATGCGACCTGCAGGGCTGGTAGCAGGAGAGTGCGGCCATCTCGGCGGGGCTGCCGGCAAGGGCGCGGGGTGCTACGGCAGCCGGCGCCGCTCATCATTCGACCGCCCAAGCTGCACTCGCCGCCGGTACTACTGGACTGACAGTTTGATCTGGAACAAAGGAGAACTATGTTAGCAATTTCAGTTTGATATAAAGAAGAACTCGAGTTAGTTCCATCTTGATAAGTATATTTTATATGTTTTTTATTGTTATTGATAGGTTGTATTTAACTACACGTTTTTTGTTTGTTTATTTATTTTGTTTTGTGTATTTTGTAGTGTGTGTGTTAAGTATTTAGTAATTAATTTCAAATTCAATATTTAAATTAGTTAATATCTTTATTACTAAATTCTTATAGTTGTCTGATTGGTGGCTTGTTCGCCGCGAGTTACATAAGAGGCCAGTAAAATACCAGCGCGAGGCCCCTGTCTTGCACATGCTGAACTGGTCCCATTTCACCGCAGACTTGGGACATTAGTAGATATTTATAAACTTATGTGGAAAATCTGTATGTGCCATCTGTTTTAGCGTGTGACATAAAGTCTTTTCTTTCTTTCTGTATTGTCCAATTACTCAAACACCACTCAATTTCAAGACGCGCGTTCTGTCAGTACAAATTCTTTTCAAAATGACAGAGATGGCACGATATTTATGTACAACTTAAATTTGAGTAGCCTTCAGTGTTCGGGGGTATGTTCCTTATACCAAATGATCACTGTTCACAGGCCTATCTATATTTATACATACAAACACATTAACATAACATCACGTCTTTTTATCCCCGAAGGAGCAGGCAGAGGTGCACATTTCGGCACCTAATGCCCAGTGGCGTGCAGTCCATATAGGCAAAAAGGCTTTGCCTACCTTACAAATACCGTGAATAACACTACGTAATAAAAGATATAAACATTTTAATTTTACTACAGAATACTAAAATAATATTTATAATAAAATTAGTGAACGCCTAAAATAAATAGTATAGCAACAATGATGGCGCGCGATACCTGTTGCATTTCGCCAGGCGTACCGTATATAGCTGTAAACATTAACGCGCGAGGCAGGCACGCGGTTCCGTCGCCTGCAAACCATTCATAAATTTAAGCGTGTAGTGGTGAACGTCATTGTGTGCGTAGTGCACAGACGCGTATATTTTATCGTCGCGAAGCTTGCCTGCAGGCACGGCCTGACGACTCGTGATTGAAGTTGTGAAGTTCGCCGCGAGCCGACCAATCACGTTCCGTGTCTTGGTTTACTCATTGGTCGCCTCGCAGCGAACTTCACGCCGCTCGCGCGTGACAATTTTTTTGTTTTTGTTTACGTGCGATGCGTGGATTTTCGGATAATTTTGTTATTTGATTTAGAATACGATTAGTAATTCTACGCAAATAATTTGTAGTAAACGGTATAAAATTGTCTATTTATATAAGTACATTTTATTACTGTGTTTGTTTATTTGTTAATTGATTTTGCAAAGTTATACGAAGAACTGTGAAGTTTGTATTGACAAAAGTTGGTAAAGAATTATAAACTATCGCAGACCATCGCTTAGTGATTAGATTGTGTGTGAGTTTTTCTTCTGATAGTCTTGTCTTGGTAAGTTCTATGAAAGTTACTTTATTTTAATGTGATTAGGTTATGTAACATAAGTAGGTACCTACGCGGAGCTTCCCGTCGCGGCAACTCAGTCAGTAAAAATAACGAAGCTTTAAGTAATATGTTATGTACTAATTATAAAATGAAATGAAGAAGAATAAGCTAGGTAAATGAATGTTTAATAATACTAAAAAATGTACTACCGCTTACTCGGCTCGGCCGCAGCCGGCCGCGCTCGGTTCGATTTTTCTATTAGTCATACCCAAGTTCTTAAAATCATAATATCTCTTGAATAGATGAACCAAACTTATTAATTCGAAGAATTAAATTAAAAGAGTAAAGAATTCGTAATATTCTTGTATTAAACGTGAGAAGGCTGGACAGGCCGCCAGTTCAGTACAATTTTTAGAATGAACAATTCGTTACTGCTACTGAATTGATAACATAAATTAGATTAATCGTTATACAGCACCTCGAGTAGGTAATTATGCAGATTAGTTTTACAAATCTAAAGAGAAAAATAGAATATTAATGTTTTTAAGTTGTTAGAGTAATCAATAAGTTGATGTAATACTTCACGAAAACAACGAGAGATGGCACTGTTACAAAGAATTGACGAAAGATTAAAAACCTCATAAGTTGAATGATGTTATGTATTTACGATGAGTTTAATCATAATACAATACATGTTGCCTACCCTGTTCTAAAACCCTGTGCACGCCACTGCTAATGCCACTGTACATACAATGTAATACCTACTTTTCACTATTAACTCGTCGAGTACCGGTTTTGCAGACACAATTATAGAACAATAGGTTGCGGTCACCGGTGACCGCTTGGTGTTTGACAGTTTAA